GATTGAGGTATGATGATAGTAATATATATAAATATATTTGATTTAAAATATATAACTTGATATGAATTGGGATTGAAAGGGATGCATGAAAGTTTTTTGTAACCAATTGACACACTTTCTACAATTTGTAATGGAAGATGGTTTTGTGGTGTTTTTTGTGTTTTGTTTGTCTGTGTTTATTCAAAAATAAAAAATTCTTATATATATATAAGAATGCACAGTATAGATATAGATATATAGATATATAAAAACTCTGGTCCCAGAGACTGACCCAGATTGGATCCCGCAATATTATCCTGAGAAACGTATATTTGCTTTCATTCATGGTTAAAAGACAATCTAATTTGTGTAGGTCCCATCATGCTATGAAACTGTTGAACTGCACTTAGAACAAGCACATGAGAGTGGCATTGAAGAAGTGAGTAAATGATAGAATGATAGCTCTCCTGGTAGACCAGTGTCCAATGTTAGTTGAGTGTAATCCTTAAAACAGCGTCATTTGTTTGGAATGTACAGTTGTATTTGTTTCGGTGTATCTCTTTGATGGATAGTGAAGCTTGGGAGATACCAAAGAGGAAGGTCAGGCTGGTCAGACTAGAGACACTCAGGGGATATCCCCGCATTCATGCTACAGTGCCACAGTGATGGAGGCAGCCAACCCAGATGAGAAAACCAATAATCTTGGCTATATTGAGAGCTTCCTCACACAGTGCACATTTGACACTGAGTCGGAGCAATTGAATGGGGCGGGAGGTAAACAGCATATGAGACAGCAAATTTGGGTCTGGTATTGCTTTGTTCTACCTCAAGGAGTGGTGAAGCACACTTTAACTCACTGATAGTCTATGTTAATGGTGTCAGTTTCTCATTGGACCTCCAGAAACTTGTACTCCAACCTTATCCACCATTCATAATAATTTATTCTCCACAGGGAACAGTGGTTCTATCTGCAACAGGTTAAAGATCTTGTAATTGTAAATTCTCAGGCATTCATTCTTGGCAGAATTCTTGCAAGGAAGCCATGAAATGGTTGTGAGTATAGCAGGTGGATCTCCAATGATCTGCCTCAGTTGCCAGATCCTCAATGTGATTGACTCAAGATTCCATAGGTTTTTTTTTTACCAAAATGCCACTTTGTGGGTGCCAAATCTAATGTGCATGTTTCTACATGTCCTCCAGCCATACAGTACCACTCTGCATTGGTACTTGCTTTTGGGAACATTCTGATTTGTCTTTACCACCTTTGGCTTAAATTCAGGGAATATAGTTGCAGCACATTCTTAAACTCAGCAGGGTTTATGCAATTTTACGTCCCTAAACTAGACTGTGACTCAACTCACCTTTGTCATGTCTCACATTTGGCAAATCATACAGTGAAGCATGGAGAGTGGCTTATCATAGAGATTGAACAAAGGAACATATCTCCATTTGGATGTATTAATTTCTAATCCCTGCTATTTGAGTAGCCAAAGCTGATCTGCTTCCACTTTTCTCTTAGTTACATCAGTGGTGGCAGCACCAGTCGGAAGATTTTGCGTTTTGTGGACAAGATTGCCAAGTCCAAATATTTCCAGAAGGCCACTGAAAATGAATACATTAAGAAGAAGATGGAAGAGGTTTCCAATACTCCACTGCTTTTGACTGTGGAGGTCCAAGATCTGACAGGCACATTGGCTGTGAACATCCCTCCACCTCCAACAGATCGAATCTGGTAGGTGCCCAGGGAGCAGAAGGAGGGGAACAGACCTTCTAGTTGGATCTAACAAAGATGAGGCTGCATGAGATTTGAACATTATCCTAGAGAGGCATCATGGACCTGGAAGCAGAATGGGAGACTTTTTAGTAAACTGCCCCATCACCATATCCCTGGCAGTAGCCAGGACAGCAGCAGTTAGAAGGAATGTTCATAAATGGTTGAGATGGTCCTGGCAGCCCTTCTTGTAAATTCTCCTGAGTTCTGGAATTCTAGAGCATGACCCCGATATCTACATACGGATTAAGGCAAAGAAAGGAACAGTTGCTGTTTCTTTCAACTATATTTTTTTTCCACGTCTACCTTTTCTTTTACAAAATAGAATTTGATTCCAGGAGTCTCCAGACTATATGAAATGATGGGGCCCATCATTGTGCTCAGTCTCAGTCTTCAGAACCTCAAGTTATTTTCATTTTTGAGAATTTCAGAGACTAGTTAACTATGTCAAGATTGAAGATTTAGAGATCCTCTGGGTTTATTCAAATATAACCCATTTTATATATTTATATACAGGAAAGGAAAAATATAATCATCTTTAATTCAGTGTTTTCTATAAATATGGTACAACTCGTAGAAACTTAATCAGCAAGGCCAGTGTTGAAAGATGCTGGGAGTTGTAATTCAACTACATCTGGATCATCAGCAAGACAGAAATGTAACAAGAGGCAGAGTGCTAGTTGTAAACAAATAACTTTGGCCTTTTGAACTCCCATTAAGAACTAGAGAACCTTTAATCCTAGTTTGTTGGGATAAGATCCCCAGAAGCAGTCTCATTTTAGGTGAGCAAAGAAGGGTGAATGAAGTTTTTCCTGCCTACTGGAAAACATCCAACTTCCAGCAGAAAAGACAGGGGGGTGAAGAATGCTTCAGAGGGAGAAGTAAAATCACTTTTGCCTCCCTGCCCCAGGTACAGCTTCCGGATCCCTCCGCAGTTGGATATGAAGGTACGGCCACAGCTAGGAGAACGGGAGGTGACCTTCCCCCACATCACTGAGTGGATTGAGAAGAAGCTCCAGCATGAATTCCAGGTACTTGGTTGATGTAGTCCACAATGAAGGATTGGGAGGGATCTTAAGATGAACTCAGTTCAGGTCCCTTAGCAAGAAACCTAGGCAGTTCTTGCAGCCTTAAGAGGTGTTGAGAGCCCCCCCCCCCCCCCACATTTGACAAGAAATCAAGCTGGAAGCAACTGAA